TAGTGGTTTGAAATAAAACTTAGAAACATATATAATAATCTCAACTTTTTATTCATTAACTATAAAATATTAATAAAAACTTTTTTATTACTTATTATTCTTTTGAATATATTTTTATTAACAAAGTGTATATATTACATATCTGATCTATATCTTATAAAAAATATTATGCAAATATATTACATAATTACATATTGGGTTGCACGGTGTTGTGCGCTTTTTTACTGATGTCGTGTAGATTCCACTTAAAAATTTAATGTTTTGCCTATGAAGATTTGAGGTGTAGGGGTGGTGTTCTTGGCAAAAGAAGGTAGAAATAAGGGTTTTAGACAGCAAAATAAGAGAAAGACATCAGTGAACTCTCACCGCCGACACATTATCATCGGCAAAAAATAAATAAGGGGCAGTGATCACCGCCAATAATAGTGTCCATGTCGGTTCCATAATAATAGTTTATTTTTCCTTTTGGCTCATCCAAAATAATAGCGTATATCTAAAAATAAATATTTTTTACTAAAATACCCTTTATTATTAATTAAACTACCATGGAATTAAATGCAACAAAATGGTACAACTGTGATTTGTTTTAACAAAGTTACTTGTAATTAATGTATCCATAATCTGTGTTTTTTGTCTGTAGACAATAATTTGGGGACGTATATATATATATATATATATATATATATATATATATATATATATATATATATATATATATATATGTATGTATGTAGTTTAAAGTTTAATTAATATCTTTAACTAAACTTCACACTATAAATTAAGTAAATAAATAGAAATAAAACAACAATAGTACAAATCTCTCTCTCTCTTTTATATATATATATATATATATATATATATATATATATATATATATATATATATATGTTAAGTTATTATTAAATAAATACTAGTTTTAAATAGTAGATATATTAGTTAAAAGTGTAAAGTATTTGTCGATGTGGTAGTTAGAGATGATTGTAAATGTTGATACGTCAAATTTGAAAGACGAAATTGCACTGGTTTAGATGGTCTAAAGCCAAAACATTTGCAAGGGTGAATTATGTGGGGGATAATGACTTAAGAGGGTAATATATTTTTCGATTTGTATATATTTGGTGATTGAGGTTTTTTTTTTTTTTGTCTATGTTTACCCCTTCAACTTGTTAAACTGTACACATTCAATCCTTACGACCGACTACTCGATGTTAGCCAGTAAAAATAACTTAATTGGGTAATATATTTCTCACTTTGTACACATTTAGTCTTTAATATTTTTGTACACATTTAGTCCTTAATATTTTTTTTTTTTTTGCAAAATAAGTCTTTTTTGTTTTTGTACTCATTCAATATTTATGAATAATTTATTTAGTTTTTTCTCACGACATCTTACGTGAGACAATCATTAATAAGGTGTTTGGGGTTGTTGATGCTTATGTCAATCGCGATCTTTGCTACTTGGTTGCTTAGGTCATGTGTTCTCAACATCATAACTTCTTCATACGATCTCGGGTTTTAACGATCTTTATATCCATGTGTTCGTATGTACAACTTTCGTTTAGATTACTCCCGTTAAAAAGTAATATATTTTTACTTATGATATTTATATCCATATGTTTTTTATGAATACATGTATAGATGTTTTTTTTAATAAAATTGTAAGTAAAAATATATTATATTTTAATGGGAGTAATCTTAACGAAAGTTATAGTAGACTTCAAAACGAATACATGGATATAAAGATCGTTAAAATATGATATCGTATGAAGAAGTTACGACATTCATAACACAAGACTTAAGCCAAATCACAAGACCTACGCAACCAAGCAGTCGAGATCGCGATGGACATAAGCATCAACAGCCGCAAACACCTCATCAATGATTGTCACACGTGTGAAAAAAAAACCTTAAGAAATCATTCATAAATACTAAATGAGTACAAAAACAAAAAATGACTTATTTTGAAACAAAAAAAATATTAAGGACTAAATGTGTACAAAATATTAAGGACTAAATGTGTACAAAGTGAAAAATATATTATTCTATTAAGTTATTTTTCTTAGCTAACCTGGAGTAACCGGTCATAAGGATTGAATGTGTACAATTTAACAAGTTGAAGGGGTAAATATGGACGGAAAAAAAAAACTCAGTAACCAAATGTGTATAAATCGAAAAATATTTTATCTTTTTAAGTCATTATCCCATTATGTGGACAAAAGAAAAGTTTGGCATGATAGCATGGAAACAAATTGAATGATGAGAATGGTTGGAGATATTCTTAATATTATAGAGTTGCTTGTTGACATCATTATCGTGCAAGAGTAATTAAGTAAGTGTTTTAGCCTTCGAAAGACGTACAAAATATTATTTATTAAGTATGGAAGCAAGGATACAACGCATACACTATTTGGAAAAATAATTTTCTTTTTTGCATAATACCATTTGCGAGGCCATGTTATTTTCGTTTTAGGGTTAGATCGTTCTCTTGGAGGATTTAATCAATGAATTTATGTATTTTTTTTTTTTTAATCTTTTATGTTTTCAAAAGCAAAAGGCAAAATTACAAGAGATAGAGCCTTGATTGAAGGATAAACCAAAACCAAATAACCGATGAACTTATTAAGTTTTCTAGAGCGGAAAAAGAGTGCTCCATAAATAAAATAAAATAAGAAAAAAAAAAGGACATGTGACATAAAATTAGGGTTAATGTCATTCTTGCCCAACAAACTAAGACCTTCTGTTTTAAAAGGTCACTAATCTTATTTTTTTGCATTCTACGGGTGTAATCTTGATTTTTAAATTTTAAAAGGTCCTTATTTCTTAATTTCTTAACTTGTTAACGGCTAGAAGCCGGTCAATACATGTCCTACATTTCTTCATCAACTTACTCATCTTCTTTACATGGCCACCAACACCATTGTTCCTTACCTTCTGCCTTTCTTTATCGACTACCTCCATCTCCGTCTTCTTCCACTTTGATTATCAAAAAAAAAAAAAAAAAAAAAAAACCACGCCATTCTTTCTCAACTACCTCCATCCTCAACCTCCCATCCACCTTCTCCCACTTCGATTATCCCCCAAAAAAAAAATCATGTCCACCGTCTCATATTCCATGAAGATGTCATTGAAAAATAAAATCAATATCCAAAATAAATAAATCGATAAAATCAAAACCATGGAAAATTTTGGGTGTTGCTATTAAGACACCCCTTAGACACCCTATAGATACATTTATCAAAAACCTATAGATAACTAGTTATAATCATTTTTTTTGGAAAACAATGTAATTTTAACAAATAAAAATAGCTTAAAAACTATATAGGGTGTCAAAATGGTAAAATGGGGCGTCTTTTTAGCTAACCCCAAAATTTTAAGTTGTGCAAGTGTATTTTTCGATTGTTACTGCAAGAAATTTGCAGATGACGTTTCCGATTTCCAAAAATTATCTTGCAAATGTCTCTTTCGTTATATTCAAAAACAACATATTTGCAAGTACTTTTCGTTGCTCCAAAGAGCTTGTGATGCAAAATCCTAACAACAAACCTTGATATGTGTTTAACGTAAGAACAGGAACAGAGACCGGATACCAAAACAATAGTTTCTCAAGTAACGAAAAGAAGAACACCAAATAAAACCCAGAAAAATAAGAACACCAAAAAAAACTCAGAAAAAGAGACCAGTTAATCCCAAGCGCTATCTTTTTGACACATTAATCACATACTTCCTCAATTAATTTGGATGTTGCTAAATTGACACATTTTAGACACCCTATAAACACTTTTAGTAAAAGTCAACCTATAATAAAATATTTATAATTTACTTTTTTTTAAAAACAATGCAAATTCAACAAATAAAAAAACCTTTAAATCAAATAGGGTGTCTAAATGAAAAAATAGGGTGTCTTTTTAGCCAATCTCATCCTTTTCTATGCATCTATGCAACCAGACCTCCTACGACACCACTACTCGATTCCAAGTTCTAGGGTTTTCATTATCTCTACTAATGATCAATCGATGAACTGATTTTTAGATTAGCTCATTCAATTAATTTTCCATGAAGGAAGTTCAAAATACGGGAATTTAGAGTCAAAGCCTTGATCGGAGTCAACCAATTCAGAAAACCCACGAAGGGCATGTGGGTGTCGCTGCAGATAGTAGCGGTGGAGGAGGGAAGGTTGAGGTAGGTAATGTCGTTGAAGGAGCTCAAGTGATGGTGAAGAGGAAGCGAGGGGGATCAAGTGAACCAGTCGTCTACTAAGAGGGATTAAAGAAGAGGATAATGATGATGACTATTCTTTTATTTGCTTCAATGGTAGGAGTCTCATGTTGTGCAATGGTAGATTTGTGCTCATATTGTTTGCTTCATCCATATATAGGGTACAACAATATTGTTTGCTTCATCCATATAGGGTACAACATACAACTGTTATGTTCGTGTTCTTTTGGTGTTGGATAAATGTCTGCATTTATTGCATTGAATTGCATCCAATGACATTCAAAGAATTAACTTGTATGAGCTTTTATATCCTATTTTGCAAAACCTAACCGGCTATAATGGGTTGGTTACCTAAATTAGCCTGTAAAACACAAGTTCCTACCCTTCAAATGCAAAAAATAATAATAATAAGAGGAAGGATCTTTTAAACCAAAATTGATAAGTTGGTTGAGCTATAGTAATAATAACCCCATAAGATTACTAGAATAGATTTGGACTTTTTATAGCCTGCAAGATTTTTGTATTATATCATCATTAAGTCACACCATCTTTTGTAAACATAATTTCACCACACAAATCGTCCCCTTATAAACACCTTTATTGACATTTTCTTTGCTCATGCCATATTCTTTTAGACTGTCGCTAAACCCAACTATATCCAATCAAACAAGCAACATAAAGCTAAGATATCGAAATTGTACATAGATACAAATATATAAGCATAACGCAAAGAAAAAAAAACATAACAATTATAGTACACACAAAGGAGGAATACAACCTTCTTGTCAACGTGACATCTTCCTATGGCCTACTATAATTATCTCAGGGGTGTCATCTTCTTTTTCCCTTTCTGCCTCCTTATCTTCTTTACTCCCTTCTATGACAAGCGGGTTCTTTCTGGAGGGGTTTACCACACAATTCGGGTCCCGAGGATCACATGCAGGAGCTTCGGCTTTGGTTTCTTGGATCAAAATTGAAGCCATGAGGATGGCCGAAAGGCAAAGAAAAGCCATTGGCTTCATCGTTGTGTTGTTTTCTTGCAATGGATATGGAAAGTTGCAAAACGTTTTTTGTATTCGTGTAAATAGTTGTTTAGTAGGTTAATTTGTGGATAATAATGATTTAAAAATCCAATGGTTATGAATTATGATGCATTGGTTACAACCCCCTTTTTTAAACCCCTTTTTTAAAATTGTGTATATGGATAAGTAGTTTAATAGATGAACTTGTGGACAAGGGTGGTTGAAAAAATAAGTGGTTATTATTACACACGTAAAAACCACTTTTTTTATTTGTGTAAATAGGTATTTAATGTTTTTAGCAAATTAGTCGATTAAACTTGATTGAGACTAATTTAATAAATTCACTAATTATGTTTTGACACTCAATCTCCCGGTTGTAATTTATTATCCTCATCCTCATCACTGAAAATAACCCTAGAAAGTTTGTCTACTAAAAAAATAAATATCCTCCTCATCCTCATCACCGAAAATAGTCCTAAAAAGTCTATTAAAAAAAAAAAAAAAAACATAAATGTCCTCATCCTCATCACTGAAAATAATCCTAAAAAGTCTGTCAAAAAAAAGAAAATAATGTTCTCCTCATCCTCGTCATTGAAAATAACCCTAAAAAGTCTGTCAAAAAAAAAACATGAATGCACTCGTCATCCTCATCACTGAAAATAACCCTAAAAAATATGTCTAGTGCCCATTCAATAAACACATCCGTAAAGCTTCTCCTTTTGATAATAAAGCACGGTCCGAGCTGCTATCGTACTCGCAGTGTTATCAAAGCCCAAGTTACCACCCTGTGGCGGCCTTAGTAATTCCATCACCCTTTCGGCGGCAACCACTTGTTCTTCCCGGACTCCTTCATTACACATTACTTCCCTGAAACACCTCCAACCAAACATGATCACAGACTGTAATTCCATTACCTTTCGAACCTCTGTGTCATTATGAATAAAGAATTGGGTGAAATCTTACGTGAGTAAACATGCTAGTTTTTTGGGTGAGCAATGACGAAAAAGGGCTTCGGGAATAACAGGTGAATTAAGAAGGATATTTGGGAGAGAAATGTAAGGTATTTTAGCTTTATAACGTATCGCCCATTCTGTTAGGAAATGTGCTCGATACGCGATAACACATGGTAATCGCACAAGTTGCAATTCCATTGCCGCTGTCCCCGATGTACATAACGCCACACTGCTCGCCTGCATCAGCTACTTTTTCAGCTAACAGCTAGTTTTTTGACTGCCAGCTAACTTTTCAGCTAGTATACCAGACATACCCTAAGTTGAAAAGAAACAAAACCAGTACCGAAATAAAGTATTACTTACACTAAATGCATCATATTTGGTGTGGGGTGATCCTCCAGGAACCAGTACGACATGTGTCGGCCACTCATTGGTGGTTCTTTTGATGTGATCTTCTACATGTTTGTTAGGTGCCACGTGGATAACAGTCATTAAGTCATGAATAGAGTCCTTTAACATGTTCATGGTTTTTGAGTAAATTGGAAGCATACGTGTCACTTCTTGTAATCTACTTCCAGGAAGCAGACTCAATATTCTTGAACCTTGCAAAAAAACATTACCCGAATTTTAAAAAACTTATTGTATCTTTTTGGATTTTTGAATATGTCCAATTTTACCTGAGGAAATTCCGTATTTACCCCTGAACATGTCAGCATTTCCTTGCACCTTCCATCCCTTTTCTGTAGCAACCTTTTGTTGGACATGAACATGTAATCATTAAGTGAATGAATATTCAGTGTAATGGCCAAAAATTCAGAAGGGTAAAAAGGGAAAAAGTGGAAACAACTTGTACCGAGTTAAGGTCAATGGAATCTTCTAGAATGGGGTGGCCCACAAAGGTTGCAGGTAGTCCATTAGATATGCAAACTTCCTCTTCAAATGGAAGAATACATAAGACATGATCAATAAACTCAGAAAGTCCCTTAAGTCTTGCTTCACCTCCTTTCCATGCCCAAAAAGATGGTGCTACATAATGGAAGTGTAAAGGTCCTTTTTGCCCATATCTAGCTGCAAAAATTATTCCCCCAATTTCCTACACCATAAATATTATAAGGAAAATCTAAATTACATGTTTGAAATCAAGAAAGATGGTGAAAGAATTACCCCTTAATTGCTTTAAAAGACGAAAAGAGAATCCCTTTGAATCAATTGTGACTATGACATGAGGATTAAATGAGATTGCAGCTTCAAATGTTTGCTTCAGTCTAACCTGCAAAAGTTATAGAATTTTAGTAGTTTTTAAGATGTCTGATATAATTATATATTTCTTTACAAGAAGATATGAGAAATTGGAAAAAGAAAGTACTTGGAACTTATTTAGATGTGGCAACAACTCCCAAATCCCCATTACAGCAATATCTTCCATGGGGAAAACAGATTTCAATCCGTGTTTTGCCATCATAGATCTAAAAATTGACACGCGGATAAATGAATACATATGTATGTATGTATGTTTACAAATGAATATAGATGTGAATTTGAAAACCACGAAATTATTTGGGGAAACAGTTCCTCATTGATTAGGGTTGAGAAGATTTAGAGATTGAGAGGTGAATCTATATGACTAAAAAAGAATTACCCTCCAACTCCAGCAATGTGTATTGGGAAAGGTGAAAGCTTTGTTAAGGCAGCTATTAAACGAGAACCAATAGCATCTCCGGAAGCTTCTCCTGCAACTAAAAATATCCTCATTTCTCCATCTTTGGAAGCCAAATCAACTGCAGATTGTCTCGAAGTGGAGAAATATTTCCCCAATGACGACAGAAAGTCTGAAGTAGTTCTTCTATTTGAATTGCGGATAGGCTTAAGCAACATTGTGATTTTTACTGCAACTCAGAAATCAGACCAGCCAACATGATGGACAACCTTTAGGCATTCATGGAAGTCGCCGGGGGTGTAGAACTGCGAGCGACGGCAGTGGCGGTGAACTCTGCCGGAAAAGTCACTGGGAGTGGGCGTGAGGGCGAGACGCTATGTGTCCTTGGCAGCTTCGAGCTCTGTTTCTTTATTTCTTCCCTAGCAACCAGCCGGTATCAATCCCAAGACCCAAAGTAGTGATTACATTTTTTTTTTAATTTTTATTTATTTATTTTTTTTTTTGTAAAATATCAATGTAGCACATCAAAGCTTCGTCAGTTATCCGATTTGGTCATTAAAGTTATTTTTTTGCACAGAGGAATTATCCAGATTTTACCTGGTTTCACCGGTTAAACTAAGCCTATGTGGCTTTATTGTTCTTTTTTCTAATATGTGGCTTTTTTCCCCTCTTTAAAACCCTAAATTAAAAAAAAAAAAAAAAAAACCACCCGTTACCCAAGAAGAACAGTACGTCTTTTTCCCGGTTCCCCCCACCACAAAAATCAATCGGTGATTGTGCTTGCTTCTGCATCGCGATTGTGCTTCTTCTGCGTTCGTAGCCTTTACCCCAAGCAAAATAGAGATCGACATTGCTCTTTTGTCTCCATCTATTAATCGATCAAAGGTCTCAGTCAATGAACGACACCCCCTTTTCTTCGTTCCCAATTGACAATCACTTATGTCTTCTTCACAACTTTTCTATGTATGTGCGAGATTCCACAGCAACAAGGAATCAAATTCCCTTTTTCTTCTTCTCAATATCGAAATCTAAAGGTTCATAATGGCCATGGTGATTGGTATAGAGAAAATAAGGATGGTTTGTTGGTGAAGGATAGGTTGTAATGAAGAGACAAGGATGTTGGCTTTATATACAAGTAAGTGGCAGGGGATTATTCTGTTTGTTTTCTCATAAATCATTTGGTTTTGGACCAATCTTTCTTATACATATAAACACTAAGAACACTTGGTGTTCATTGTGTTCATCAATGAAAGAAAAGGGGAAGATGAAAGACATGAAGAACTCTCACCGATGATCTATCGATTTAGGGCTTGGATTAGAGGGACGATGGCAACAGTGTGAGGTTGAAGATGGTGATGTTATGTAACATACACGTTCTGAAATTGTGTATTGTTATTATTAAAAGTGAATAAAATTGAGTGTTGAGTTCTAACAAGATGATTTTTACTAGAAATGAAGTAAAACTATGTTTAGAATCACTCAAAAAATATTGGAAGTCTTATGAGATCCCAATTAAAAGCCAAATAGTGAAATTTAGCGAAAATATAAAATTTGAAATAAGTAAAATTTTATTAATTGATGTTGTAAATTATCTCGTTAGAAACTTGTAGGCGAAAACTGTGACAACCCGAAATTTCCTTTTGGTCAAACCTTAAAAGTCAACCCCTTCGTATCGTGATTTAATATCATTATTTCTTATTTTTAAGAAATATAAAGTTCGTTTAATCATTTTATTATTATTTTTAAACGAACGGGTAAAGGAAAGTGTCGTCTCGGGTTTTTATTTTGAAAACCGCAAACACTTCCCGTATTAGGATCACCCGACTAAATTTTTATGTTTCGGGTTTGAAAATCACCCAAAAACCGTAAACTCATATCTATGTATGAGTTTACTCCCCAAGAACTAGCCATTTGTGTTTACTCCCCAAAAAGTGAAAAGAGTAAACTCCCAAAAGCCCTCTCAACTATCATCCAACCTTTAATTCCAAAACTCCGATCTTGTAAGTGTTCTAACCATTTCAAGTTAGTAAAACACTTAATCTAGTGTTTGTACACCTAATCATCTGTTTATTTGTGTATTTTATTTAGATTTCCAAAACACCAAGAACACACACTAAGTGTTCTTGGCCCTTTTAGCTCGAGTCAAGCACCATTATAGTAAGTACTCCCATCCTTAAGTGCTTGTGAGCTAGTATATCAAACAAATACCAAGGAAATCAGCCAAGAACACCATGTTTGAGGTGTTCACGGTCCAAAAAAGATGCTTGGACCGTAAACACCTAAAAGTCCCTCAAATTTGGCTTAAGTCCCATTTTAAGCCCTAGTTTGAAACCCTAGACTTACCTTAACATATCTAAACCTTCCATTGATATGTTTAAGCATTTTAAAACATCAAACACCACAAAATATAGGTGTTTACAGCCTAAGGATATCTCAAGGCCGTAAACACCCAAAAGGTTGTTTAAATGGGTCATATTCCTTACTTAGCCCTAAAAATTAACCTAGACTTTTACCTAGTGGTGTTAAGGACTTAAAACAATGGAAATACCACTTCCCATAAGGGTTTACGGTAGTAAACCCAAGGGGAATTACCCTTAGGCCGTAAACACCTCAAGGTGGGTGTTTTGTGGTCTTAATCCATTCCAAGAGCTAAACCACTTAGCAATGTTACTTCTATGGACTTGTTAAACTCCACAACAACTCATGGTTGCACTATTTGGAGTTTAGACCGTAAAACCTAGATTTTACTGCCGTAAACTCCAAGGGTAAAGGTCATTTAGACCGTAAACTCCCAAGGAGTTTACCCTTGGACCCCAAACACCCTAGTTATGCCCTACTAGCACTCGGAAGCAAACCTTGTGAACTTTAACACTTGAAACAAAGTGTTTTCAGGTTCTAGAGTGTCCCAACTCATATTATTAGTTATAATAAGGCTAATTAGTTATACATATGTTCATTATATGATAACTAGGCTCGTGCATGGGTACAAGTCTCCAATTGTCACCTAGCACCGAACCCGACACTTCAATCCAATCCACTCACCACAAGTGAGTTCATACCCCTGTTAACTAACATTTGAAATACTTTTAAATGTTTTAAATACTTTCATGGGGGGGATACAAGTTAAATACTTATAGTTATTACATCAATCACATGTGATTAATAACTATAGAACCAATGATTTTATCACTGTTCAAACTATTTATCAAACTGCTTTACTTCAAAATGTTTTACAAACTCTTTTCTTACCAAATAATTTTATTTAAACTTTATTATAATTCTTATAAATTACATGTCCATATATGTATAGATATATAAGAAATCTTTAAAGGGCTTAGGAAGGCCATCCACCCTATTTCCTTTTCGCGCTTGAGATGTGGTCTGGTGGAATTTCGGGTGGTCGTCCGAAAGTCGTTTCAATATTAATTATATATCAATTGTACATATATAGACATAAAAAGTACTTCCATATTCATGCGTATTAGTTACATCATTAGTAAGTTACCATCGGGGTAACACAGGATCATACTACTACAATTTCTAGATCAATGAGTCAGTTCATTTATGAGTCAATACTTATTACTATGAGAACATATACATTACATTACTATGAGTATATATACAACTATACTAGAAAGTGAACATATACAAATATACTAGAGAAGAACATATACAACTATACTAGAGAAGAACATATACAACAATACTAAAGAAGAACATATACAACTATACTAGAGAAGAACATATACAACGATACTAGAACAAGTAACATTACACTACATATACATGAATACGTTAACAATTGTGATCCACTGTATCGGAGCATGCCTTAAATGTCATGGCCCGAGTTGTAGCCAGAATTCTCTTGGAGGGAGAGCGTGAGTTTGCGTATAGATCTATGCTGGATTGACTATCCTACACCTTGCTGCTAGCTACAGCCGGACCTGCAGGTCTGCGGGTGCCAAACGTCATATCATTTTACGACCTACATTTGTCGTTGTTTATCCAGTCGATAGTATGGTACAATTAATCACATGATGCCTTAATATAAATCCGATTTAAGGTAGTTAGTACAGCAGTAGTTCCTATAATACAACACTACAGTACTACATTAATTTACTCTTTACACAATTAGTGATCTTTTCACTTAAACATTTATGTACAAACTATATTTTGAGAATGATAGTTACACTTGAGTAAATTACACACTTTTACAGTAAACGAACATACAAAACAGTTAAGCCTTGGTAGAAGGCTACTTTAATAGAAAATATAGGTTTTTCTAAGAGATTCAAACTTTTACAAACACTTACAAACATTTATATACATTTTACAAACTTACACTTGAGACATGTTCAAACGTTTTGATAACAAACACCGACACTAAAATACTTATGAACTCACCAGTTTTATGCTGATAAACTCTTTCAAAATAACTTGTATTCTCAGGTCATCAGTAGACAGGTACCGATGCCAGCTTTTGAGAAGATGGAACGCATCCAAGACTCCTCTTATTATTTTGATTTACATTATTTTTTGTGTCTATAACTGTAAAGAACACACTTGTATTAAAATTATATATTTAATATGTTGTTTGCTTGTTTACTTTTACTGTGTTGTGATACTTTACATGACGTCCTCCGCCCCAGAACGTTTCCGCCGTTCTTGCTTTTGGGGTGTGACAAAAACCTCATCGAAATCCGAGTTATAACGAAGAAGTTATGACCAATCGAAGATCCGCGTTAAAACCGACACGGCACCAAATGACGTAAAAAGTGACTTTTTGATAAACTACTTTTTAGCCTTAGTAATATAAATGAAAGTTGTAGTATTCGTTAAACCGAGAAATTCGATAAAAAGAACACCAAAATCTGACTTCGTATGAGGAAGTACGAAGCAGCTACGTCACCTTGCACAAAGCTACTACGTCACCGGAGATGTGGCCAAATCCGAAGCCGGTGCGTGCTGCAAGTTGATTCGCCGAGGCCGAGGTCTAGTAGGAACGAGACACGTCTTGCATCGGTGGCTAGTCCGACGCGAGACACATCTCGCCTACCAGCCTTGCATCCGAGCCACACTGTTCGAGCCTTGCATGCGCGCCAGATCCCCTCATCTCGCTTCGTGGCCTTCGCTTCTCTTGCCGCGTGCCCCTCGTTGCTGATGCCACCGAGCTGCTTCGCTGCTTGGTTCCTTCCCAGCCGACTTCGGCCTCGGCCCTATATAAAGGGAGGCCGCGAACCTTGCCCACTAACTTTGGAAATTTGCCACTTTTAGCCCCTCTTTCCATATTTTCTTCATTTTGACTATCCCCGAAGCCCCGGTATAAATTTTAGCACCCGAAACACGTCCCGAAGCTCCCGAGAAGCCCGAAAATTTTATCTTTTCGGTTTTGAAGACGTACCTTCGCAGAGCCTGGTTTTCAATTAAGCTCCCGGTTTTCAACA